TGAAGGATTTTGGCATTTGCGCCTTTTCGGCTCTCCGACGGCTCAAGACGGCCCAAGAAGCCCCCAAGATCGCCCAAGAGGCCCCCAAGAGAGCCCCCTGATGGCCCAAGTGGCCTCCAAGATGGCCCTAGAGGGCCCCAAGACGGCCCAAGAGGCCTCCAACACGCCCAAGATGGCCTCCAAGACGCCCAAGATGGCCTCCAAGACGGCCCTGGAGCGCCCCAAGAGGGTCCCCCGTTGGCCCAGAAAGGCCCCCAAAACGGCTCCCGACGGCGTCAGACGTGCCAGGAACCCACCAAGATGGCCGACGTTGGCTCGAAGCTGGCAGGGGTGCACGGCGTGCTGGACGTTTCAGGTTTTGGTTTTGGTTCTTTTTCCAAAAGAACTCCCCAGTGGGCTCCGGCAGAACCCGCCGGCCACCCGGAAAATCCCCAACGTGCTCAACGACCGAGAAAAATCCTCCAAAAACGGCCGTTTCGCTCGGGACATCCTCAAAAAATCGCGAAGATGGCCCAAGATGGCCTCCAAGTCCGCCCGAGATGGTCCAAGACGGCCTCCAAAACGGCCCAAGAGAGTCCAAGACGGCCCAAGACGGCCCAAGAGGCCCCCCAGAGGCCTCCCAGACGGCCCAAGAGGTCCTCCAGGAGAGAAGAGGCCAAAATCATTGATTTTCCCTTGGTTTTTGAAGGATTTTGGCATTTGCGCCTTTTCGGCTCTCCGACGGCTCAAGACGGCCCAAGAAGCCCCCAAGATCGCCCAAGAGGCCCCCAAGAGAGCCCCCTGATGGCCCAAGTGGCCTCCAAGATGGCCCCTAGAGGGCCCCAAGACGGCCCAAGAGGCCTCCAACACGCCCAAGATGGCCTCCAAGACGCCCAAGATGGCCTCCAAGACGGCCCTGGAGCGCCCCAAGAGGGTCCCCCGTTGGCCCAGAAAGGCCCCCAAAACGGCTCCCGACGGCGTCAGACGTGCCAGGAACCCACCAAGATGGCCGACGTTGGCTCGAAGCTGGCAGGGGTGCACGGCGTGCTGGACGTTTCAGGTTTTGGTTTTGGTTCTTTTTCCAAAAGAACTCCCCAGTGGGCTCCGGCAGAACCCGCCGGCCACCCGGAAAATCCCCAAACGTGCTCAACGACCGGAAAAAATCCTCCAAAAACGGCCGTTTCGCTCGGGACATCCTCAACAAATCGCGAAGATGGCCCAAGATGGCCTCCAAGTCCGCCCGAGATGGTCCAAGACGGCCTCCAAAACGGCCCTAGAGAGTCCAAGACGGCCCAAGACGGCCCAAGAGGCCCCCCAGAGGCCTCCCAGACGGCCCAAGAGGCCTCCAAGAGGTCCTCCAGGAGAGTCCGAAGAGGCCAAAATCATTGATTTTCCATTGGTTTTTGAAGGATTTTGGCATTTGCGCCTTTTCGGCTCTCCGACGGCTCAAGACGGCCCGAGAAGCCTCCAAGATCGCCCAAGAGGCCCCCAAGAGAGCCCCCTGATGGCCCAAGTGGCCTCCAAGATGGCCCTAGAGGGCCCCAAGACGGCCCAAGAAGCCTCCAACACGCCCAAGATGGCCTCCAAGACGCCCAAGATGGCCTCCAAGACGGCCCTGGAGCGCCCCAAGAGGGTCCCCCGTTGGCCCAGAAAGGCCCCCAAAACGGCTCCCGGACGGGCGTCAGACGTGCAGAACCCAACCTCAAAGGCTTGGGCCGACGTTGGCTCGAAGTGGCAGGGGTGCACGGCGTGTGGACGAGCTGTTAGGTTATGGTTTTGGGTTCTTTATTTTTTTTCAAAAAGAACTCCCCAGTGGGCTCCGGCAGAACCCGCCGGCCACCCGGAAAATCCCCAAACGTGCTCAACGACCCGAAAAAATCCTCCAAAAAACGGCCGTTTCGCTCGGGACATCCTCAACAAATCGCGAAGATGGCCCAAGATGGCCTCCAAGTCCGCCCGAGATGGTCCAAGACGGCCTCCAAAACGGCCCAGAGAGTCCAAGACGGCCCAAGACGGCCCAAGAGGCCCCCCAGAGGCCTCCCAGACGGCCCAAGAGGCCTCCAAGAGGTCCTCCAGGAGAGTCCGAAGAGGCCAAAATCATTGATTTTCCATTGGTTTTTGAAGGATTTTGGCATTTGCGCCTTTTCGGCTCTCCGACGGCTCAAGACGGCCCAAGAAGCCCCCAAGATCGCCCAAGAGGCCCCCAAGAAAGCACCCTGATGGCCCAAGTGGCCTCCAAGATGGCCCCTAGAGGGCCCCAAGACGGCCCAAGAGGCCTCCAACACGCCCAAGATGGCCTCCAAGACGCCCAAGATGGCCTCCAAGACGGCCCTGGAGCGCCCCAAGAGGGTCCCCCGTTGGCCCAGAAAGGCCCCCAAAACGGCTCCCGACGGCGTCAGACGTGCCAGGAACCCACCAAGATGGCCGACGTTGGCTCGAAGCTGGCAGGGGTGCACGGCGTGCTGGATGAGCTGTTAGGTTTTGGTTTTGGTTCTTTTTCCAAAAGAACTCCCCAGTGGGCTCCGGCAGAACCCGCCGGCCACCCGGAAAATCCCCAAACGTGCTCAACGACCGGAAAAAATCCTCCAAAAACGGCCGTTTCGCTCGGGACATCCTCAAACAAATCGCGAAGATGGCCCAAGATGGCCTCCAAGTCCGCCCGAGATGGTCCAAGACGGCCTCCAAAACGGCCCAAGAGAGTCCAAGACGGCCCAAGACGGCCCAAGAGGCCCCCCAGAGGCCTCCCAGACGGCCCAAGAGGCCTCCAAGAGGTCCTCCAGGAGAGTCCGAAGAGGCCAAAATCATTGATTTTCCCTTTGGTTTTTGAAGGATTTTGGCATTTGCGCCTTTTCGGCTCTCCGACGGCTCAAGACGGCCCAAGAAGCCCCCAAGATCGCCCAAGAGGCCCCCAAGAGAGCCCCCTGATGGCCCAAGTGGCCTCCAAGATGGCCCCTAGAGGGCCCCAAGACGGCCCAAGAGGCCTCCAACACGCCCAAGATGGCCTCCAAGACGCCCAAGATGGCCTCCAAGACGGCCCTGGAGCGCCCCAAGAGGGTCCCCCGTTGGCCCAGAAAGGCCCCCAAAACGGCTCCCGACGGCGTCAGACGTGCCAGGAACCCACCAAGATGGCCGACGTTGGCTCGAAGCTGGCAGGGGTGCACGGCGTGCTGGATGAGCTGTTAGGTTTTGGTTTTGGTTCTTTTTCCAAAAGAACTCCCCAGTGGGCTCCGGCAGAACCCGCCGGCCACCCGGAAAATCCCCAAACGTGCTCAACGACCGGAAAAAATCCTCCAAAAACGGCCGTTTCGCTCGGGACATCCTCAACAAATCGCGAAGATGGCCCAAGATGGCCTCCAAGTCCGCCCGAGATGGTCCAAGACGGCCTCCAAAACGGCCCAAGAGAGTCCAAGACGGCCCAAGACGGCCCAAGAGGCCCCCCAGATGCCTCCCAGACGGCCCAAGAGGCCTCCAAGAGGTCCTCCAGGAGAGTCCGAAGAGGCCAAAATCATTGATTTTCCCTTGGTTTTTGAAGGATTTTGGCATTTGCGCCTTTTCGGCTCTCCGACGGCTCAAGACGGCCCAAGAAGCCCCCAAGATCGCCCAAGAGGCCCCCAAGAGAGCCCCCTGATGGCCCAAGTGGCCTCCAAGATGGCCCCTAGAGGGCCCCAAGACGGCCCAAGAGGCCTCCAACACGCCCAAGATGGCCTCCAAGACGCCCAAGATGGCCTCCAAGACGGCCCTGGAGCGCCCCAAGAGGGTCCCCCGTTGGCCCAGAAAGGCCCCCAAAACGGCTCCCGACGGCGTCAGACGTGCCAGGAACCCACCAAGATGGCCGAAGTTGGCTCGAAGCTGGCCCAAAAGGGCCCAAGAGGCCCCCAAGAGGGCCTCCAGGAAGGCCAAAAGATGCCAAAATCACTGATTTTCCCAAGGTTTTTGATGGATTTGGGCATTTCCCTTTTTTCGGCCTTCCGACGGCCCGAGACGGCCCAAGAGCCCCCAAAGATCGCCGAAAGATCGCCCAAGAGGCCTCCAAGACGGCGACGATGACCATCAAGAAAGACGCCCACGTGTTCCCCGAAGGCTTTCCAAACCGATTCGGGGAACACATGGTCCGATGGCTTGGCAGGTCTGGCCTCAACGTTCGGCCACATAGGCGCTTCCACAAAGGCAGGGGGCGGCGGTGATTCGCCGTAGGCGTCTTCGATAATAAACAAATATTGTACGTGTAATCATGTCATCATCATCATCATCATCATCATCATCATCATCATCATCATCATCATCATCATCATCATCATCATCATCATCATCATCATCGTCATCATCATCATCATCATCATCATCATCATCATCATCATCATCATCATCATCATCATCATCATCCACCTACTCAGTGGTCACCTACTACTCCACCTCTCCCCTTCCACCAACCAGATCGCATCGGGAGCGCCCCCAGATCGGCGGCACTGGCCGGAGGCCACTACAATACGAGGATTCCCCCTATTCTCCCACATTTTCTGTGTTTTTGTCTTCCCCCCTACTTTCCACATTTTCCAATATTTTTGGGAGAGTCGACGATCAATTGTGTCTGTGTGTTTCTTTCCCTCCTGAAAACTCTGAGGTCTGGACGGACTCCTCGGATCGGCGCTGGGGTCCCCTGGCGGCGCCTCCGGTGCCGCCCCTGGCGCGCTGGTCCAGCGCCGATCCGAGAAATCCGCGCGGACCTCCGAGCTTTTGTGCTTATGCCCTTATTCGCTCCCCAAAACACTGCCTTCAGGAAGTGAGGTTTCGCCCCCCTCTACAACTCCCTGTCACCAGTCGCCGTGGACTGCACCATGCCGCCGTGGGCGGCTGGGGTCACCCTCGCACCTGCGGCGCCCGCAGCAAGGACGGCCTTCAACACCAGGAAGTGCGTGATGGAGGATCCCTCGGGGAGAGCGAAGCTCAGCTGGGCATCGCGCACAAGCGCGCGAGACTCGCTCTTCTGCAGGGCCGAGAAATCTATGTAGACGGGGTTCCCGCTAAGGTTCGTCGCGTTCAGCGAGGCGCCTTGAACCTGAATCTGCAGGTGAGCTCGAGAGATCAAGCCCATCCGCGAGGGAGATCGAGACAACAGGTACTCGAACATGCTCGACTGGTGCTGCCGGCCCACCACAGTGGACCCCTCCGTGAGGTCGATGCATCTTCTTTCCTCTGCCATCGCCTCGATCTCGCCGTCCGCGAAACCTTCTGCGCGCACGCAGACCAGGCGCCACTTGCCAGCCCCGCTGGACGGGGTCCGAGAGTCTGCCACGGCGCCAGCTGCGGCTTGCTGCTCCGGCCTTAGAAACCACTGCATTAGACACAAACCTCCCTCCCCTGGATCCCCCTCCCTGACGAAGCCCTGCGCTGACCCCCCTCTCTGGCGCGGGGGCGGCCCTGGGGGCGTGGGGGTCCAGCGCCAATCCAATCGGCGGTGGACAAACCTCCCTTTCGCAAACCTCCCCTCAGTGAAAGCGGCCTGGGACCGAAACCGACGGACCTGGACCCGCAAAAATGAGGGCCGCGACGCCCTCTTGCGAGCCGAAAACGACCAATTCGCTAATCGACGTGTCAGGGCAGGAGGTCTGTCTACCCCCGATCCAAAGAGATCTGCGCGGACATTGAAGAAATTATGTCTGATGCCATGTTTGGTCTTCGAGACCTGCTTGGCGGGGGCGAGTCCGCCGCTGCGGGGGCCGGCCTTGAGCATCGCTCAACCAACCCCTATCTTCATGGGCGTGGCCTGGGCCCTAATGTTAGGTCGGGCCTGTCCCCCTACAGGGGGATTTTGGGCGAAAAATTATAGGTACTCGAAAAGTACCCCCAAAATGCCCCAAAATAGTCAAAAAAAAAGTCCCCTTCCTATTTTTTCCTATTTTTGAATATCCCTCCTGTAGACGGACAGGCCCGACGTAAGCCTATCTTCATGGGCGTGGCCTGGGCCCCAATGGCCGATTTACCCCCCTCTAGATGGGGATAACGGCCGTTTCCTTCGGGCTTCGATGGATATATGGTCCAGGGTCTGGCCCCCCCACCCCCCTCATGCTGATGCCATCGCCCCCCCCCCCGCGCGATGGTCCCCCCCCTCCGTGTGGGTGTGGTGTGGTGGGGTGTGGCGTGTGTGGAGCGGTACTGTGGTGCTCCAGGAGAGCTCCGGAGGTAGTCGTCGCCGCCGCCGCCGCCGTCGTCGGGGGGGGCCTCTGGAGGTCGGCGCCGCCGCCGCCGCCGCCGCCGTCGTCGTCGTCGTCGCCGTCGCCGTCGTCGTCATCGCCGCCGTCGTCGTCGTCGTTGTCGTCGCCGTCGTCGTTGTCGTCGTCGTCGTCGCCGTCGCCGTCGTCGTCGTCGTCCTCCCGCCCCATCCCATCAGGGGGGCCGGCCCGTGGAGCCCTGGGACCCATCCCATCTGAGGGTGGGGGCCGTGGGCCCGGAGCCCGGGAGCATGTATCCCCAACTGGGCTGGTGGGATGTTGGGGGTCTGGATGGCAGTGCAACGTTTCGTGGCCCCATGGGGAGCTTCACCAAAGGCCCCAGTTGCGGTGTTCGCACGCGTTCCCCCCACCCAGTACGGCGCCTCGTGGCCCCACGGGGAGCTCCACCGAAGGCCCCAGCGGCGGTGTTCGCTCGCATGCGTTTGCCATACCCGGAACAGCGCTCCGCGGGCCCGTAGAATGGGAATGGGCAATGGGGTCGATTCAACAGCACTGCCCCGGGCTGCCCCTCCGGCTCGGCGGCGTCCGCGCCGCCGAGCGTGGCACTGCTGCTGGGGGTGGGGAGGGGGAGGGGGAGGAGCGGGGAGGAGGAGGAGGAAGAGGAGGAGGAGGAGGAGAAGGACGAGGAGGAGGAGGAGGAGGAGGAGGAGGAGGAGAGGAGGAGGAGGAGGAAAAAGGAACGGGCCTGATCACGGCGCGGACCAGCAGGAAGACCATGGCCTCGCCGCAGACCTCCCTGCCGACGAAGCCGATCTCGGCGCCCGGCCGCAGGGCCACGGGGACGCCGCGCTCCGTCGTCCTGCCGTCCACCGAGACGGGGTTCGAGCCCCGCGCGACCAGCTGCGCGCCGCCGCCGGTCCTCGGCATCGTCTGGCCCGTCCCCGGCCCCACTGGGCCACCGCATCTCAGCCCCACCAGCCCGCCCCCCCGATGGGGATAGGCCCCACGAAGCCCTGAAGAAGCAGGCACATCTGTATAATATATATATATATATACACAGATACGTACATGTCTGCATATCTCTATATGTGTATACCGATCTGTGAGTAGAGACATAACCACATGTACGCACAGACCTGCATCTGTATATCCATGTGTATATGGGTGTGTCTGCGTGTATCCCCAGATAGGTGGGTTGGTCGGCCAGTGGGGTCCACGCCAGTGAGGATGTGAGGACAGGGTTCGGTTAAACTATGCCCAAGTCCAGCTGATCTCGAAGGCGGTGCGCGAGACGCAGTTCTGCAGGCTGACGTCCGGGAGCCAGGCGTTGAAGAGCTCTGGCTGGTGTTCCCTCCCGACGGGTGCGGCAAACGCGCCCGTCGACTGCGGTGCGCTACCCGCCGGCGGCGCCAGCGGCAGGCGCCGAAGGTCATGCGGGAGCGAGTCCACGTCGAGGCCCTGTGCCTTGACGAGTTCCAGGCAGACGGGCGACTGCCTCGCAGCGGGCAAGTACTCGACCTCGGTCCGTTGCTGAGGGCCGTGCAGCACTCGGCCAGCAAGCACTCGGCGAACACGTCCTTCCAGAGAACAGACGCGATACAAGGCACACTGTCTG